TCTTTTCTGAGTTCAATATCATTGACTCCCTGACTCTGTGGCCAATTCCATCTTTTATATATACATTATATGTATTTAAAACTCCATCCTGAAATTAATACAAAACGCAAACTCTATCCCATCTATACCTTTCTTACAGCTCCCACATTTCTTCAAATAAGTGATCAGGTGCAGGAGGTTGACACAGGGATTGTGTCCTTCTGCCTAGACATATCCTGAGTCTCTAAATCATAACAGCCATGCCAACAAATTATACCCATTGGAGGGTGGGCTATCTACCCTGGGATTTATGGCATGGTCTGGCATGGCTGTTCCTTTGTAATGAGGATGATTAGATAGGGAGAAGGGATTTAATGAGTACAGAACTCTTAACAAGTGCCAAATCTTCTTGTATTTCATTTTTAGCACAAGTTTTTGCTATAAATGTTAATCACCAGTCATACTTTGTAAAAAGTGAGATTCAGGACTAAGTAACTTATTTACAGTTTTTATCTAAACAAACTAGAAGTGAAATTTGAGCTAGTTGGTGACAAGTTGGTGATTCTAATCCTTCAGTTTAAGGAGGTAGAGGTGACTGCTTTGAATGTGAAGGTTTATCCACCCTTAAACTTCTGGTTGGGATTTATTTATTTATTTCCTAATCTAGAAACATTGGCTGAATTTTCTTGTGTGCCTCTTTGATATTAAAAAGTATAAACATTTCATAGACAGAGTTCTTACATTGAGTTCTGCACCTGGTTCTCTAATCATATTGAGCCCATCATTCTCGGCATCCATTATTTGAGATATTGAGTACCCACTATATAAACTCAGAAAAGAGCCTGGGGGTCTCCTGGAGACAGGAGAGGCTAAATATACAGTGCCTATGTTCTAGAGGAAGGAAGGGATCTAGTTGCTGCCACCATTATTACACCCTTGTTGCTTCCCCCTCAAGTCTCTGAGGCCTGGGGGGGGGGGGGCTCTAGATAAGGCAGTTTCTGAGGGGAAGAGGGGATATGGACAGAGGGAGTTTTCTTGGCACCTTTATTGTGGTTAATAGAATTATCACAAACTCCTTGTAATGTGAATAAAGCTGTGGGAATGAGAAAGCAGATAAGGAACTATCAAAAATACAAAAAAAAATTGAGTGGGGTAAGTAGCATATTTATTTTTGAAAAAAATGGGAAAACACCTCTAAGCTTGTGATTTAATTTTTTGCAGTTAATGGTTTGCAGGTGGTCTTTTCATTGGGAGAAAGCCTTCCTGGTTTAGAAAATTTCAGGCTAGAGGAAAGGGCTAAATTATAAACCTAATACTGCTGCCAGTTTTAGTTTGACTCCAGGTGAATTATTCAATCTTCGTGTCAGCTTAGAAAGAGAATGATGTCAGACACTGCACAACATGTTCTGGTGGTATCTCCAAATTGGTAAAACTATTATCATAAATAACAGCTATGAAATGTGCATAATAAAACACTTTGTTTTTTTCCCCTTCTGTGTCAGAAGGGGTGATACTGACACAATTTGGCCAGTGGCTTAAAACGCTTTGGAATCTGAAACTTTCTGGAGTTAAAAAAACAAACAAACACAAAAACCAGACACCTGTTATTTTCCTAGTACTCTATGTTGTTCGGTTTACCAAGTATGTTTGGATATTATCACAGCTGATCGTCATTCCCCCCTGTGAAGTGCCCCATTTTATACATGAGGAAACTGGACTCACCCTCAGTCAAGGTAATTCAGGCAGAGATGCTTTATTTTTAATGTTTTACTTTACCATATCTGGAAAACTTTTTTTTTTAAAATTATTTGTGATAATCGCATAATGCCATCATCAAACAAAACAGTCTTTTCTGGGGACAACTTCCACCCCTGTCTTGATCCCAAATCCAGTCAATAGCTATCTAAGTCACTAGACACTCCGAACATTCGCAACAGTAAGTATCTGCTGCATGTTTATTATTCAACCATGTCTGGGAATAATCTGACTTCCCTAAAGAAAGTTGTGTGCATTTGGGGGATAGTCAGCTAAGATTCAACTCTTCTTGGTTTTTGATTTCTTGAGGGTATGAAGGCTGAGAAAACAGGGTTTGTCTAGAGAATTAGATTGGGAAAATAATAAACTTAAAAGCTGTAGGCACATAACCAGTTAACTGTCTATCAACAGCAAGCAGATGGGCACTATCTCCTCCTTTGGCGGGGCGACGGGGGTGGGGG